TGGACCGGGTTACCAACATTGAGCCTCCTGCTGTTCAACGCCGTGCAAACCTCACCCTCACAACCTGACCCCACTGATACTACTGCTGTTGCTGCATGAACTATTCAAAATTATTCACTTGAACCAATCAATCATTCAAACTAATTCAAATTAATCAATCACCCATTGACTGTGTTTTTCCTCTCTTTCTTTTGCCGAGTTGAACAGCTGCCCATCCTGCTGCTGATGCTGCTGCCTCTGCTGCCTTGATCGGGTGCCACTGCTCACCGTGCAAACCTCACCCTCACAACCTGACCCCACTGATGCTGCTGCTTCTGCTGCATGAACTGAACTATTCAAATTAATTGTTTCCTTCACGTTTTACCCTGTTTTTTGTACTATAATACTTTATACTAACAATGTTTACTATCCGGTGTCGACCAGAGGAGGATGGGTTCCCCTTCTGAGTCCTGGTTCCTCTCAAGGTTTCTTCCTGTTTCTCTTAGGGAGTTTTTCCTTGCCACTGTCGCCACTGGCTTGCTCATGGGGGCTCGGACCCGGACTTCTTTTGTAATGCTCATTTCCTTGTAAAGCTGCTTTGTGACAACACCTGTTGTAAAAAGCGCTATATAAATAAACTTTACTTACTACTACTTACTTTGATTAAAAAACAGAAACCAGAACAGCAGTTCTCTGTTTCTCTGTTTGGCTTGGCTGAGTTTGTTATGTACAACAGGCATTACTCAACCCAGGAGTAAATCTACATCAGCGTTCATTTAATAACCTGCAATAATACAGTTCTCATTCTCTCACGTCTGGCAATATACTGTGTGAAAGGTGCACTTCATAGGTGAGGGTTCCTCTACACAGCAAAGGTGTTCAAGCACCACTGCACTCAAATGAACACTGTCAGAGTTTATTTAACACTGTAGCTGTTATTTCAGCAATGGGAATTTTTTTTGTATGTTTACTGATCACAACAATGGAAAAAGGGTTCAGATAAATGCTTCCTGGCTCTGGGAATTCAGCATGTCACCCATGGTTTTCTTCACTACAGTGAGGATTTGGGTATTTATTAATATTTTATGTATGCATTACAGTACAAAAGTCAGAAACCACCTATTTGATTATTTAATATCCAGTTAAAATGGCTATTAAGTACATTAAGTGCTTTGGCTATGCCATTCCATAGTCCTCTATTTCTCCCCTTTGAGACATTCCTTGGTGGATTTACTTGTATATTTGGGATCATTATCCTGGTGGAAGGTCCACTTCTTCAGCTTAAACTTTTTGACAGATGGCCCCACATTCTACTGAAGTGGAAAAGGAATCATAGTTGATTCTGTGATTGCAAGTTGGCCAGGCCTTGAGGCAGCAAAGCGGCCCAAACCATAACATATCCAGCACCATGCTTTAAAAGTGGTATGAGGTTCTTCTGATCAAATGCTGTCTTTGGTTTTCACCAAACATGCCTTCTGGTACTGTGCCCAAACAACTATCGTTGGTTCATTCCAAAAGTCCTGGTCCTTGCCTAGATATTAATTAGCAAATTTTAGCCTTGCCCCAATGTTCTTTTTGACAACAAAGAACTTCTCCTGGTGCACCTCCCATGTCTCTTTTCAGTGGTAGATGCATGCACTTTGACCTCAACAGTAATATGCTACCGGCAGATCCTGTGATGACATTTTCAGATTGAGCTGTTCCATTAGTCCTGACACGTTATGTATTTATGTATGTATGATTATCATGTATTTGATCTGCTATATTTTCTTCACTCACTGCTTGCAGGTATCAGATAAATACATAAATGTAAAACTATTTATAACCTCACTGTTTATGGTTGTTATCAGTTTCCTTACTTCAATTTTGATAGTTTCTTTATAGCCAGCTGCTGTTATATAGTGGCATGTAATTTATAGGCTTAAATAATCAGCAATATGCAGCAATGTCTGACAATTATAAAATACACAAAAAATCTAATTTGATTAAAATCGGTTGAGTAATAAGAAGTCTAAAGGATGCACAGAGTTATAGCCACAACTAAGAACAACAGACAACATGGCAGCTATGTATGTATATATGTATGGTCAGTGTGGAGTCTAATCATACACCCCCATCTGGATCTTGCCTCTTTAAAAACAGTTCAGTTTGTGGATTGAAATCATACCTGTAGTTTTTCAATGTCTCCACTGGCCCACCTCTTCACTATTGTGACAACAGGCTTGTTGGTTTTGAGTTTCTGCCTGTATGTTGGGTTGAGGTGAATGAGACCGGGTCAGAATGACAAGAACTGTGTGATGAGCAAGGACAGATCGAGTCTCACCACTTAACCACAAATGTATCAGAGAATAATCTGTCAGTTTGAAAACACCTTTCCTTAATAAGTGATTGCAAGGACTTCAGGTATTTCACCCTCTACAGGGCATAATATTAGTAAAACAGAGGAAACGTTCTGAGGTCTGACGAGTCAGTCTTTCAGATTGTTTATGGAAATAATGGTTCCGTGGGCCAAAAAAGAAAAGGACCACCCAGATTACCAGCGTAAAGTTCCAAATCAAGGATCTGTCATGGCATGAGGGGGGTATTTTTGTGTAACCTGCACATCTGTGAAAGCCTCATTAACGCTGAACATATTTTGGAGTAACATATGCTGCCTTTTAGATGCCATCTTTTTCAGGGAAATCCATGCTTATTTCAACATAACACAAAAAACATTCTGCACATGTTACAAAAGCATGGCAGCGTAATCAGAGTGCAGGTGCCAGACTCACCTGCCTGTCTCCATTAATTATGAACTGCAAAATATGACTCTCAAAAGTCCCATGTGACTGCACAGCTGAAGACTTGTATAACTGGAGAAAGGCAAAAAAAATCTGCTTTTAAAGCTGGATCAATTGGCATCTTCAGTCCCCAAATTATTATTAGGTGCTGCTAAAAGGAAAGATGATGTAACACAGTGGTAAACATGCTCACATCTCAACTTTTTTTGAATGTGTAGCAGGCATCATACTTGGAATGAGCATATATTTACAAAAAAAATCAATAAAGTTCAAGATAAAGCATCAAATATTGTGTAATATTGTGTTATTGTGTTTACAACTGAATACAGGTAAAACAAAATTTACGAATCACTGCTTTGTCATTTTATTGGCATTTCACATATTGTCCATATTTTTTTGGAATTTTGGAATTGGGTTTGTGCTTGATGCTGCTATTAGATTGTTTTTCCATTGTGGTTTTACATTGTATGTTCATTTTATTTTTTCATGAAGGGCCTAAATCAACAGTGAACTTGCCTAGTCTAATAATTCTTGGTAAGGAAAGTGAACAACTAAACTGGAGTTTTACACTCATTTGTCACTTTGTCAGGTCCACTAAACATATCGTTACTGATTTATGTAAAACTGTCAACTTTCATTTAAAGATATCTTGATTTATTTGAACATGACTACTTTTATTTAAATCTGTCAACTTTTATTTAAAACTGTCAATTTTTTTTATTTAAAAATGTCTGCTTTTATTTAAAACTGTGAACTTTAATTTAAAGATGTCAGGTTTTATTTAAAAATGTGTGCATTAATTTAAGGCTGTCAGGTTTTATTTAAAACAGTGAACTTGTATTTAAAGTGTTTTTTTGTAGATGTCTTGCTTTCATTGAAAGATGTCTTGCTTTTTGTAAAGATATCTTGCTTTTATTTAAGCATGTCTTATTTAAGCATTTTCCTTGAACATTTTATGTATGTTTATTTTATGCTTTTATGTAAAGTATGTTTATTTTATGCTTTTATGTATTTTTCTTCATTTAAAGATTTTATTTTTATTTAAAAATAATTAGTTTTAATTTAAAGTTGTCTTGCTTTTTGTTTTCATTTTGTAAAGATATCTTGTTTTTTTATTTAAAGAAGTTAGGTTTTATTTTAATTTGTCTTTCCTTTTTTTGACAGTGCCCAATAGCGCCATCATATATAGCAACATCGACTACAAGTCACAGTGCAAGTGCAAGAAAACACAGAGGACTAAGTGGAAAAAAAAACTACTTCCGGGATAGCAAATGCTTTGTCGACTTTCAGGTTTCTCAGGACTGTCAAACTTGTCACACTACACAACATTTATTGCTTGTATTAAGGATCACAGAAATGTCACATGCCAAGTTCACATCAAAGTTTATGGCAAACAAGCTCATCTGTGCTGCTACCAGAACTCTATTAGCATTTCCACACACAGGAGAAATGTACTGTGAATATCAGTATTAATATTAATAATTAATATGAGAATATTAACTGAGAAGCTGCTCTTAACCCTGAAACCCCAACCAAAGACAAGATGGGTTGGAGAGGCCAGGGCACACACACAGTGGTGGTGATAGGATCCAGGCGTCACTATGTTTACCACACAAATATAGCCATTTTATTTACTATTACAACCAGTGGATCTAGATCTGTCTTCTTAGTTTTTATTTGTAATGTTGACATTGATAGAATGTTGCTAAAAAGTTTTCTATGGGTACTATTTTGCCTTACAACACCCTACATGTATCTCTCTGCCATGAATGGTTTTTAAAAAATGTAAAACTTTTTCTCAAAATTGTAGGGCATTAAGCACCACCAGTATGAAAAATTCAAACTTTGTAAGTTTCTCTAGAATGATCAAATCACTTTGAATGTTTAAATCTTAATAGTGTAGTTGTGCAGAAATGTAAAAAACAGGTGGAATCCCAAAGTGAATTTATTCTGAAACAAGTCAGCACATGGCTGTGCAGGACCACCGTTACTGTAATGCAGAGGAAAAGAATAATTTCAGTAATTCAGTTGGTCAAAGATAAACACGCTCTCTTAAGAACATCATCATACAAAACAAAAAAGATACACAGATGTATGAAGGTATGAATGTGGGTAATGAAAGGTGTGAAAGGGTTAACAATGTCACCACTGAGCTCTCTTGAAGAGCTGATATTCACGTACGTCTCCTTTTCAGGTTTTTCCAGTTTTATAACTCTCACACTTATCTCTTGTTCTCTCTGACTGAAATGAAGAGGCTGAGACATTTTTACTTTGTTTTAATCCTGGAGAGTGTTCTTATGATATTTTATGTCAACAGATACTGGACGCACAGAAGTGAGGCAGAAGAATTTTTCAGACCTCCACTTAACACCTCTTTGCTCAAACCAGAACATGATTATTCTAAACCACAGTCAAAAACTGTCAGTAGCAGCTACACTGGATCAAACTACTACAACCTGATCTGGAATGGATTTGCAAACTTCAATAAGGAGACAGGAGATGAAGAGGATGATCTGCTTGATGGTCCTGACCTGGAGAACAGAAGACGTAACTGGAAGTTCCACTCAAGCCCGATTCCTCTGGAGCTCAAACACAGACAGTACGCCCGAAAGAAGCTCATTCATGACCTGTGTGACAGTAACAGCACCTTAGGCTTCAATGGGAAATGGCAGACAATTGATGACATTCCTAACAGGGAACTAGCGAACCTGCTTGTAGACGACCGACACGGAATAATCTATTGCTACGTCCCAAAAGTTGCATGCACCGAGTGGAAGCGGGTCATGATTGTTCTGAGCGAGAGCCTTAAGGTGAACGGCGTGCCTTACAGAGACCTTTCAGATATTCCCGTGGAACTGATTCATGGAAACAGCACCCAGTACCTTAACAGGTACAACAGGACGGTGATGAAACACAAACTTCAACAATACAAGAAGTTCATGTTTGTCAGAGAACCTTTTGTCAGACTGATTTCAGCCTACAGAGACAAGTTTCAAACAGAAAATCAGCCATTTTACAAGCGCTATGCCGTCCCTATACTGAAGAGATTCGGCAAAATCCCTAATCCACCAGCATCTGCAAAGGAAGCACGCACTGCTGGTATTGCACCATCTTTCTCCAACTTCATTCAGTATATCCTGAGCCTACCAGCAGAGAAATATGAACTGCTGGATGAGCACTGGAGACAGATGACTCATCTGTGCCATCCATGCCAGATCCATTATGACTTCATAGGGAAGATGGAGACCATGGAAGAAGACGCAGCTCACCTGCTACGAATGCTCCGTGTTGATAACATTGTCCAGTTCCCAAAAAGTAAAAGCAGCAGAACAGATGAAAACTGGGTAAAAAACTGGTTTCCTTACATCCCTATTAAATGGAGAAGGAAACTGTTCAAACTGTTTGAGATAGACTACAAATTATTTGGATATCAAGTTCCTGAATATCTTCTACATCCATAAAACATTTGCCCACTTTAACTGTTAGTGTATTGTTAGTGATGGCAATCAGATGTGAGTGACCATCCAGTTTTATTTAAAGAACAGGGATCTATCACAGTCTGATCTTCACAACACAAGTTTGTGGAAGTGTATGATGGCACAAACAAAGCAGATTTCTGAGGACCTCAGAAGAAGAGTTGTTGATGCTCATCAGGCTGGAAAAGGTTACAAAACCATCTCCAAAGAGTTTGGACTCCACCAATCTGTCATGCATTCGGCTCCCTCTATGGAGGAAACGGACATCATCTCCCAGAATTCTCTGGGAGATCATGTGACTGAGCAGCCGCACTCGGAATCCGACTCTGACAAGAACTCCATTTCCCAGGATACTATGGAGTCTCAGGTGACTTCAGACTCTCACAGGGGCTCCTATCAGCGCTCACAATCCCCTGAGTTTTGACTGCTTGCACCTGTGTTGATGATCATCTGACAGTTAGATTAGAGTAGATAAGCCCGGGCTTTAGTTAGAATCACTGCGAGGTACTGTTTCTCTGAGACTACTGAGCGTTTTTCATCCTGTTCTGATTGTTTACCGTGTTTGACCTTTTCGCTTCGTTTGACTCTGTTTTTGCCTATTGCCTATTCCTTTGGTACTTTCGCTTGTGTGTATGATCTGTGTTTTGACTTTTGGACTGTTTTTTGACTACGATCTCTGTTTTTCCCCTTTTGACTACGGCCGCTTGGTTTATATTAAACCACCTGCACTCACCATCCGCACACGTCTGGTTTTCTGTCCGAGCGTTACACAATCACAGTCAGACAGACTGTGTACAAATGGAGGAAATTCCCGATCATTGTTACGCTCCCCAGGAGTGGTCGACCAACAAAGATCACACCAAGAGCAAGGCGTGTAATAGTCTTTCTTAGCTACTACAGGCCTGTCTCACATTGGCTACTGTTGGAGTTAATGAATCCACCATCAGGAGATCACTGAACAACAATATTGTGCATGGCAGGGTTGCAAGGAGAAAGCCGCTACTCTCCAAAAAGAACATTGCTGCCCATCTGCAGTTTGCTAAAAATCACATGGACAAGCCAGAAGGCTATTGTAACAATGATGATGAGATCAAAATAGATCTTTTTGGCTTAAATGAGAAGCGTTATGTTTGGAGAAAGGAAAACTGCATTCCAGCATAAAAACCTTATCCCATCTGTGAAACATCATGGTGGTGGTAGTATCATGGTTTGGGCCTGTTTTGCTGCATCTGGGCCAGGATGGAACAATGAAATGATTTATACCAGGTAATTATTCTAAAGGAAAATGTCAGGACATCTGTCCAGGAGCTGAAACTCCTGAGAACAGGGGTCATGCAGCAAGACAACGACCCTAAGCACACAAGTCGTTCTACTAAAGAATGGTTGAACAAGAATAAAGTTAATGTTTTGGGATGGCCAAACTCCTAGAAATGTTGTGGAAGGACCTGAAGCAAGTAGTTCGTAAGAGAAACACCACCTACATAACAGAGTTGAAGCTGTTTTGTACAAAGGAAGCAGGACTAAATAACCGGTTACCGGAAATGTATATTTGCAGTTATTGCTGCACAAGTGGGTCACACCAGATACTGAAAGCAAAGGTTCACATACTTTTGCCACTCACAGATATGAAATATTGGATCATTGTCCTCAATGAATAAAAGACCTAATATTTTTGTCTCATTTGTTTAATGTGGTACTCTTTGTCTACTATTAAGGCTTGTGTGAAAATCTGATTAAGTTTTAGGTAAAATTTATGCAGAAATATAGAAAATTCTAAACAGTTCACAAACTTTCAAGCATGTTTACATGAATTTCATCTGCCTTTAGATTTGAACTCCCTTTTTGAATATGAAGAATTCCGGACATTAACTTTATACAGCTTTTTCATGCATTTTAGAATCTTCTACAGTTCCATTCATCATTTTGGACACATCTAATAATTTTTTATGTGTATTTACAGCTTTAAACTGTCCTAGTGATTACTTGAAACATGAAGCTACTCAGGACTTAAAATAGTAGAATCATTTTATACCCTTGTCTGCAACCAAATTGGTTTTATCATTGAAAACTTTTATTCCAGGATTTTGAACAGCAATTTCAAACTATTAAACAGTAGTGTATAAGCTTGGTCTTGGTAGGTGAGTTCCACCTCTATGAAATTAAAAGCTAAACAGAATATCTCCTTATGCCTGGCCCACACTACATGATTTTAACATCATAACCAATGTTGAAAACGTGAGAGACTCCAGAAATAATGTTTTTCACAGATTTTTTTGTCCTTTGTTTGTTGTTAGTCATCAAAGTCCCCACACTATATGATCTGAGCTGAATGAAACCCGACACACTTTCAGAATAGGAACACCAACAAGAGTCCCAACTAATGGTTCCGATTCCTCAGTTCCTTGTGAACTGCTACACTGCAGGAATTTCTTGCAAACTAACGTGACCCTAGATTTAGACAAACACAGGGGATGACAGCGAGTTATGCTGATGTACTGTGTGCTTTCTTTCAAAAAACAAGTGGAACTCCAGCCATACAAGACTTTGTAGACCACTAAAACTGTGTCTATCAGATAAACAGCACTTAAAGCTTTCATCTTTGAGAAAGAAGAGGAAATCAAGCTCCACTCTTGCTCCTGAAAGAATCCACAAGTGTGTCAGTCCATCCTTTTACTATGTGAAGACAGATCACCACTATGAGTCTGAGAAAATGTGTAGCTGTCAAAAAGCTGTTACTGATAAAGACAAAAAAGCCAAAAAAGAGCATTTGCACTAGAACACAGAAACTGGACATCTGAGATGTGGAGGAAGGTTTTCTGGACTGATGAAAAACTTGAAGAAATATCATTTTTAAAATTGCAGCCCTGCATCTTCTCCCCATGGTAACTCTAAACTCACACAAAAGAACCCACAACATCACACGATAAAATATAGCCAGCACATCTCTAATTACCAACCAACAACATAAACAGCAACAACAACAAATGTCCTTTCTTAACGGAGAGGGGAGGCACGTACAGGTGCAGCTGTGTATGCTACGTCCCTAAACCCCTTCTGAAAAGTGAAGCCTGTGGCGGACACTACAATATTAGGGCAACATATTAAGACTACCAGTACTGTCATACAACCGCATTTCCAAAAAAAGTTGGGGCACTGTGCAAAATGTAAATAAAAACAAAATGCAATGATGTGCAAATAATATAAACCCCATATTTCACTGAAAATAGTACAAAGACAACATGTCAAATGTTGAAACTGAGTGAAAAAGTTGGGACAGGGCCAACAAAAGGCTGGTAAAGTTGTGTAATGCTAAAAAACACTTGGTGGTTACTTGGCAAAAGGTCAGTAACATGATTGGGTATAAAAAGAACATCCCAGAGAGGCTGAGTCTTTCAGAAGTAAAGATGGGGAGGAGTTCACCACTTTGTGAAAGACTGCGTGAGCAAATAGTGCAACAATTCAAGAATAATGATTCTCAACATAAAATAGCAAAGAACGTTTGTTTTTCATCATCTATGTTACATAATAACATTTAAAGATTCAGAGAATCTGGAGAAATCTCTGTATGCAAAGGCAGTATTTGCTGGCCCTCAGGCAGCACTGCATTAAAAACAGACAGGATTCTCTAGAGGAATTCACTGCATGGGCTCAGGAACACTTCTGAAAATCACTGTCTGTGAACACAGTTCATCACTGCATCCATAAATGCAAGTTAAAACTCTAAAATGCAAAGAAGAAACTGTACATAAACAGGATCCAGAAATGCTGCCACTTTCTCTGGGCCTCAGCTTATTTAAAACGGACTGAGGGCAAGTGGAAAAGTGCCCTGTGGACCGACGAATCGATATTTATTTCTTGGAAATCATGGACGCTGTGTCCTCCGGGGTAAAGACCACTCAGCTTGTTATCTGCATACAGTTCAAAAGCCAGTATTCATGATGGTATAGGGGTGCATTAGTGCACATGGCATGGGTGACGTGCACATCTGTGAAGGCAACATTAATGCTGAACAATATATACATGTTTTGGCAACAGTAGCTGCCATCCAGACGACGTCTTTTTCAGGGAAGGCCTTGCTTATTTCAGCAAGACGATGCCAAACCACATTCTGCATGTATTACAACAGCATTGCTCCGTATTAAAAGAGTCTGGGTGCTAAACTGGCCTGCCTGCAGTCCAGACCTGTCACCACTGAAAATATTTGCCACATTATGAAATGAAAAATACAATAAAAGAGACTCTGAGCTGTTGAGCAGCTGAAATTCTGTATCAAACAATTACGAGAAAGAATTTCACTTTAAAAACTACAGCAATCGGTCTGCTCAGTTCCCAAACGCTTACAGAGGGTTGTTAAAAGAAGAGGTGATGAAACACAGTGGTACACATGCCCCCGTCCCAATTTTTTTAGAAAATGTTGTTGGCATCAAATTAAAAATGGGCATATATTTTTCAAAAAAACAATAAAATCTCTCAGTTTCAACATTTGATATGTTGTCTTTGTAGTATTTTCCTTTAAAAATACGGTCCTAAAGGGGTATGTTTGCTGAGATTCGAGGCACATCTGAGAAAACGCATTTGCTGTGGCTTACTGGTAAGGATGTGTCTCCATCTAGAGGGTCAGTCTACACTGCGATCTCATACTATTATCTACAGTATTATGTGAGAGGAAGCATTGTTAGGCATTTGTGCATGGCTTTAGGCAACTCAAAGCTTTTTCTCTAGTTTCCAAACTCCACTCTAAAAAAGTTTACACTCTAGTCAAACTCTATCTCTCCCCAGTCACCACCATATCTTTCAGCTTATCATCCTCTGTCCTATTTTTGCCTGTGAGCTGCTGCTATATAACATGGTCGGAAAAGGACGGGAATCTAGAAGAATGTCCATGTTACAAAGATTCTCAGTCTCTATGACTACTGTCGCCAGGCAACGATCCGTCCATATACAGTGCAACATCTCCTTTGATTAAAGAACACAAACCAGAACGGCCCGATGTCTCTGTTTACCATCTGGCTTGGCTGACTTTGTCAAATACAATGGGCATTACTCATCCCAAGAGTAATATCTAAGTCTACAGCAGCAC